TTGGGTGTGGGGCCTAAGTACAGCTGTAGAAATGATTGAGCGAGTTCAGAGCGTGTGTTTTGTTCAGTATAGGCTGCAGAAGGGAGGGAGAGAGAGCCAGCCATCCGCTGCAAGTGGCTCCCCACCCCTGCCCCGTTTTGCTTCCGCTGCACGGTTCAGTTCCCACCCGGGAGCGCGAGATTTTTTGGACAGTTGCAGTTGTGCACTCGAGAGCTGCGGAGGGGCTCTCGATAATTCAAGCAGCTGTGTGCGAAGAAGTTTGAACCTGCAGGCATTCAGACACTTTGAGATCGTACCTTTGGCAAGGCAGAGTTCTCGAAAAGGTTGGTTTCCTGACGTGGCGGCCGCTCCCAATATAGTCACCGCTCCGCGGCTGCACGTCAGGGTCAACAGCAACAATTAAGTAGGCGGCTCTCTTGGGTGTGGGGCCTAAGTACAGCTGTAGAAATGTGTGTTTGTATGTATGCATGTATGGATGGATGGGTGCATGGATGTATGTTTATATGTACGTGTGCATATATATATATATATATATACACATTGCTATGTATACATATATACATGTACGTATGTATGTATGTATGAATGTACGTATGTGTGTATGTATGTATATATGTAGGCATATGTACATGTATATGTATATATATGTATATACGTGCATATGTAAATGTATATGCATATGTATATGCGTATGCATAGGTATATGTGTGTGTATTTGTATATGTATATGTACATATATATATATATGTATATGTATAAGTATATGTATATGTGTATGTCCATGTCTATGCCTAGGCATATGTATATGTAGATGCATATGCATATGCATATGTATATGTATATGACCATGAATATGTATATGTATATGTATATGTCTATGTCTAGGTCTAGGTCCATGTCTATGTCTATGTATAGGTATTTGTCTATATATATATGTATATGTATATGTGTATGCGTATGTATATGTATATGCATGTGTATATGTACATGTATATGTGTATGATTATGAATAGGTATATGTATATGTATATGTATATGTATACATGTATCTGTATATGTATATGTATACGTATATGTATATGTGTATGTATATGTATATGTATATGGTTATGCATATGTATAAGTATATGTATATGTATATGAGTGTGTATGTGTACATGCATGTACATTTGTATGTTTATGTGTATGTGTTTATGTATATGTACATGTATATGTTTATGTATATGTATATGTATATGTATATGTATATATATATATATATATATATATATGCATATGTGTATGTGTATATGTCTATGTATATGTATATGTATATCTGTTTCTGCACATATATATATATATAAATAGATAAATAATATCGGAGTCGGCCAGAGGGGGCGGCGGGCCAGTGCCTGTACCTACCCTCCCCCCCTTGGTTTGTTGGGGGGTGTCCCAGAGCTCCTGAGACGGCCTGGGCCCGCTCCGAAACGGGCCACGACAGGCTAAGGCGGTCCTAAGAGGGCCCAAGACGGCCCCACGAGGCCCCGAAAACGCCCACAATGCCTTCAAGACGGTCGACGAGGACTCCAACGCGTTCCAGGACGGCATCAAGAGGCTCCCCAAGGGGGCCCTGGCAGACACAATTCGTCAATTTCCCGCGAGTTTTCGACATATTTTGGCCTTTTCGTTTTTCCCGCTTCCCAGCGCTCCCTCACGGCCTCGGAGGCCCTTCAGATCGCTCCAAGACGGCCCACGAGACCCCGAACAGGGACCCAAGACGGCCCAGGAGGCTCCCCAGACAACCCAAGTGTGCCCCGAGAGCGCCCCACGAGAGGGCCCACCAATATTTCGAGGCCTATGACCCCAGAGGCCCCCAGAAGGCCCCCGGAGGCCACCAACAGGCTCCCAAGAAGCCCCGTGAGGCCCCCATGAAACCCCCAGAAAGCCCCAAGAGGCTCCCAAAGGGCCCCGAGGGAACGCCCAAGAGGCCCCCCAACACACCCCAACAAATCATGTCCCCAGAAAGCCTTTCGGGGACATGGTTCATCATCATGGGCCCGCGAGTCTTCGGAGGCTCTGAAGTAGCACCACGCTGCCGGGGAGGGAGGTTAATTGGGAACATGACTGATCGCCTTCTCGCGGCCCTCCTCGGATCGTTTCGCACAAAGATGCCCCCAAAGGCCCTTTTGAACCGTATGGTAGCACCTGGGACGTGCTCTGGCTTCTCTGGACGCTGGGGCCCGAGTTTGTGATTTAGTGATCGGCTTCAGCCGGTCCTACGGATGGGGCCAGGAGGTCCTCCAGAGGAGGTCCAGAAGCGCTGGATGGATCTTGGGAGGCGTCCATCCGACGAAGACGACGACGACGAAACGACGAAGGTGACGACGACGACGACGACGACGACGACGACGATGACGACGACGACGACGACGCGCCCCAAGAGGCGACGACGACATCACGACGATGACGACGACGACGGCACGCCCAAACAGGCTCCCCAAGACGCCCCCAAAAGCCATGTTTCCAGAACACCTTCTGGGAACCCGATTCATCAGGCCTCCGCCCCCCTTCTCCGAACATTTCCATGAATACGGATTGACACGCATAGCGTTCCCATTGCCCATGATGCGTTTAGCGTTATGGACACTTCTTCATGTCCCGTTCAAGCCTTTTGTGGTCCACTCGTTTAGTGGAGCAGTGAGCTCGTCAAGGCCTGAGGCCTGCTAGAACCTGAGCGCGCGCGAAGCGCGCGCGATGGTTCTAGTGTATGTATATATACATATATATATATATATATATATGTATATGTATATATATATATATATATCACTTTGGGTTCAGTAAGGGGCTCTGGTTTTCATGTCGTTCCTTTGAATTGAGAAACGTGTCGATGAGCATATACGAGGCCTGGCTCGTCGTGGTCAGGAGAGCCCCTTCGTTCCTTATATTCAGAGTATGGTCGCACGATGACAGTGTGTCGCCCTCGGGGTGCCTTTGGGTTTTCCCAAGTAGTGCTCAGATTCTCTCGCTCCATGAAGCCTCCCCAATTTGTGATCCTCAAGCCTGAACTTTGCAACCGTTTGAAGGACGGAGCACAGGTCGTTTCCAAAATGTTGCTCTCGCTTTAGCGCCGCGCACGTTTGCTGTATAGTGTGCAACAGCTTCAAGAAGAAACATCGGCTTCTTTTCAACATGTGGCTCTCACCTCGGAGCCGCGCACCTTCGTCTTTCAAGCCTGCAACAGCTTCAGGGGTGGGGTGGGGGGATCGCTTTCAAAACGCGGCTCTCGCCTTAGCGCCACACAAATTCGATTGAACGGTCTTCAACACATCCAGGGATGATGGGGGTCGTTTTCAACATGAAGCTCTGGCTACAGCGCGGCGCACATTTGGATTGAACGCTTGCAATAGTTGATCTCACGGAGGGCATGTTTTCAAGGTCGGACTCTCGCATTAGCGCCGAGTACATCTGCAACAGGTGCCAGGATGGAACACAGGTCTCTCACAAAGGGGGGCGCTCGCCTTAGCGCCGTGATGATTTGGTTCAACATGCATGCGCCAGCCAGATGAATGGAGGACAGATCCTTTTCAAGATGTCTCTCTCTTTCTGTGATTTCCTTACCTTTCATGACCAGAAGCTTCAACCAATCTAGCACTGCTCGGGGATCGAGGGCAGTTCCTTTTCAAAATGGGGCTCCCGCTTGAGAATCCCTCGAAGTTCATGACGATACGTGTTATTTTGTACAACATTTACACAAATTGCAGACTGGGCGTTCGGCCCTAGCGACGGTCACGCAGTCGGCCATCGCGGCCGCCTCCTGCGCCGCGCAGCTTGTGTCGGCGACGCGCCGACGGGGGAAGCGGAGGGTGCAGGCCTATTCTCAGCAGGTGGCGAGGTCTTCTCAGAAGCCCTTGCGCCTTCTGAGAAACCTTCGGTGGCTTCGGAGGTCGGAGAAGGCCCTGACAGCTTCTCAGAAGGCCGGAGGCCTTCTGGGCCTTCTGAGGACCCCCCCCTCGCGCCACCCTCCTGTGCGCGCGGCCAGATGTCGGCATCGCCCAGATAAATCGTATGTGTGCGTTGGGCACACAGGGGCGAAGCGCGCGTTCCGAGATCTTACAGTGTAAGTTCCGTCGCGGGCGCTTTCCGGCCACACCACTCGGGCATCGACATGCTACAAGCTTGTTGGACTACATAATCGTGTCGGACGTGCGTATACACGATCAGCTTCCGATCGCCTGCGTTTGCGCGCGGTCGCTGATGCACGCGGGGTCGCGGAGGGCGTTCATGTGACCTACAGAAGTTGTCGACTGCGCTGCCATTGGCGCGCAATCTGACCCCGTAAGGCCGCGCGTGAGTGCCCCCTTTCCCACGTGGAGTGCCGCGTTGACGGCCTGCGCAAGCCATTGCGGAGGGTCGCCAGATCGTCCTTCGTAGAACCACGTTCTGCCCGTCGCTCATATCGCCTTCGGCGCATCGTCGCCTTTAGCTGAAGCAGGCGGAAGTAAGATTGCGACGGGTCCGCCGGCGGAAGGCAGGCGGAAGGCGGCGGAAGCAGGAGCGAGGCGAGAACGGTTTTGGGTTCAAGGCCTCCCAGGTCCTTGCTCCCAGGTCGCCCGCAGGGGCCCAGAAATGATTGCGCTTTTTCGCGCGTCGCGGCCTGGGCCGGGCAGCTGCCCCTCTCAAAGGCTGCCCCGCGAGGGCGCGAAGATCGCGCCCTCGCGCAGTGACCCAGTTGCTCGCTCTTCGAGATCCCGAGCCGGCCGAGGCGTCGGCGTTGTGGGCGGCGCTGAGCGTCGGGCCGCCGGCTGCCTCGGCTCCGGCGCTGGCGGCGGCGCCCTTCGAGGGGCAGCGCTGCGCGCTGGCGAGGCAGCGCCCTCGCAGAGGCGTCGCGCCTCGCCCGCGCGGGTCGGCGGTGGTGCTCGGAGGAGAATTCGGCGATCGAGTCGCCGCTCGTCCAAGGGAGGCACTTGAGCACCGCCGCCGTGCCAGGGCCAGAGCCGTCCTGGGCCTCGGGGTGCTGCATGGGCCCTCCTTCTGTGCCTTCAGCGTTGTCCATAATTAGCCCTCATGCTGCCTCAGGCTCTGGGCGCCCATGGGGGCAGGGCACGGGCACGGGCAGGTGCTCACACCGATGCCCTTCCTCCGCTCTCGTCTCTCCTGGGCTTCCTGGGGGGGCCCTTGCTGCTACGGCCAGATCCGCCTCGGAATCCTGGTCGAAACGCGGCTGGGGAGAGGCCCAGGTAATTCTCGCAGAACCGGCGTCTCTCTGTGCCCCTAAGGTGCGGTTCGGCGCTGCCGTAATCGACCGCCCGCCGCCCCCGGCAGACCTGGAGGACGCGGTGCTCTGAAAGCAAAGTCGCGACTAGCGTCTGGAGAAGAGGGAAGGACATGAACCAGAGAAGCAGAAGCGAAGGCGAGGAGGGACAGCAGCAGGGAACGCGTGCGCGCCCATCTCACCGCCCTGGGCCGTGGGTGTCGCGGCTGGGACGCCAGCGCGTGTGCACCAGGAAGGGGCGGGCGAAAGGGAGGAGGAAGAGGAGGAGGAGGAGGAGGAGGAGGAAGAGGAGGAGGAAGAGGAGGAGAAGGAGGATGAGGAGGAGGAGGAGGAGGGAAGTACTCTGTTGGTGGGAAACCGAGTGAAAATCCTAAAGCGTGCCAAAACACCATTCTCAGGATCTCAAGGCCACGAGTTAACCAGACTGTTGTGTCTTGACGATCTTGAATCGTGCAAGAACGTCGTTCGTGGGACTTCAGCATCGCGAAGCAACGTGACTGCTGCGCACTGACAGTCCTGAATCGTTTCGCTACACCATGAGAAATCTTGATACTTGTATTTTTTGTCGAAACGAATGTGCGCGACGCTAAGGCGAGAGCCACATTTTGAAGAGGAGCCGCCTTCAAACAGTGAAGCTCTTACAATTTTTTAATGCGAATGTGCGCGGCGCTGAGGCGGGAGCCACATTTTGAACCGGAACTGCTTTCAATCCATGAAATTCTTGCAAATGTTTGAGGAAGGAATGTGCGCTGCACAGGCGAGAGCCTCATTTTGAAAACCACTGGCCCTCAAACCGTGAAGCTCTTGTAAGTTTTGAAACAAATTTGCGCGGTGCCAAGGCGAGCGCCCCACTTTGGAAACCACCTGCCCTCAATCCGTGTAGCTCTTGCACATGTTTGAAAAGAATGTGCGCGGCACTTGGACGAGAGCCACATTTTGGAAGCGACCCGCCCTACATCTGTAAAGCTGTTGGCAGTTTTTAGACTTCAGGCCCAGTAGTAGTAATAGTAGTAGTAGTAGTAGTAGTAGTAGTAGTAGTAGTAGTAGTAGTAGTAGTAGTAGTCGTAGTCGTAGTCGTAGTAGTAGTAAGTAGTAGTAAGTAGTAGTAGTAGTAGTAGTAGTAGTAGTAGTAGTAGTAGTAGTAGTAGTAGTCGTACTAGTATTAGTAGTAGTAGTAGTAGTAGTAGTAGTTAGTAGTAGTAGTATTATCAGTAGTAGTACTTTCAGTAGTAGTAGTAGTAGAGTAATAGTAGTAGTAGTAGTAGTAGTAGTAGTAGTAGTAGTAGTCGTCGTCGTGGTAGTAGTAGTAGTCGTAGTCGTAGTAGTAGTAGTAGTAGTAGTAGTAGTAGTAGTAGTAGTAGTAGTAGTAGTAGTAGTAGTAGGTAGTAGTAGTAGTAGTAGTAGTAGTAGTAGTAGTAGTAGTAGTAGTAGTAGTAGTAGTAGTAGTAGTAGTAGTAGTAGTAGTAGTCGTAGTAGTAGTAGTAGTAGTAGTAGTAGTAGTAGTAGTAGTAGTAGTAGTAGTAGTAGTAGTAGTAGTAGTAGTAGTAGTAGTAGTAGTAGTAGTAGTAGTAGTAGTAGTAGTAGTAGTAGTAGTAGTAGTAGTAGTAGTAGTAGTAGTAGTAGTAGTAGTAGTAGTAGTAGTAGTAGTAGTAGCAGAGAAGTCTTAGGCGGAACGCCCAGCCCTCCCTTCCGATTGGTCTCGGGGTACGACAGGGAGGAGTTGCTCATAAGGAACAGGAGCGAAGGAGGAGGAGGAGGAGGTGGTGGAGGAGGAGGAGGAGCAGGAGCAGGAGCAGGAGCAGGAGCGGGAGCAGGAGTAGGAGCAGGAGCAGGAGCAAGAGCAGCAAGTGGAAGAGGATGAGGAGCAGGAGCAGGAGGAGGAGGGGGGATGGCAAGGAAGAAGGGGATGAGGCGGTGGGAGGAGGTTGGGGGGCAGGAGGGCAACGGCAACGAGACGTTCGAGATCCGGTACCTGTCGGACGAGGTCGGCGGCGCCGCGCAGAAGGGGGGGCGGGGGCGGAGGGGGCATGGGGGCCTCTTGGGGATCGGAGGCTTCCATTGAAGAGTGAAGCACGGCATAAACATCAACTTTCAGAGGTCCGCGCGGATATCTTGGGTCGGCGTTGGACGTCCCCAGCGGCGCCTCTGGCGCAGCCCCTGGCTCGCTCAGCGCGCCAAGGGGTGCCCCGCGTCGTCCGTAGAAATCTGCGCGGACCTCCGAAAGGTTCTGCCCGTGCAGACCATCTGGCGCCTCGAAATCATCGAAGCGTTTTTACTGTCCTCATTTTTGCCTTGGAGGCCAGTTTCGGGCCTCGGGGCCGTCAACAGAACGGCTCGGGACGAGAAGCCGGCTCCGCGGAAGGGGTCAAGAGGCGTGGGGGCCCACGCATCGAACCCCCCCGTCTTTTTCGAAGGCTTCCCTCGCCCCCTCCCCAGCCGCCAGCGAGGAGCGCAGCTACTACGTCAAGTCCTGGCTGCTCATGGCGTCCCTGGAGGACAGGCCAGAGGTTGGAGGATCGAGGATCGGGACCTCCTGGGGGCTCGTGGTCCTCTGAGCCTCCTGGGGCCTCCGAGGGCCGCCAGAGAGCCCCAGAGACCTCCGTTGACCTTCGTGGGCCTCGGGAGGCCCATGCATCCTCCGATATGCTTTTTCGATCCGTGGCCCGAGAGCTCCCGACCCCTCCCTCAGGAGTAGTTTTGCGTCCCCGACCAATTTTTGGTGGTCCCTGGGCCCGAAGGCTGCCCCAAGATGGCCAAATGAAGGAGAAACGCCGGGATTGAACAAAACACATCTCCTGGGATATCGGGAGACCTCCAGAGACGGGGCCCGAGGGAGGTCTGCGGGGGTCTTGAGACGCCTTCGAAGGCTCTCCGATGGCCAGGTCCCTCTGCGCCAGCCAGATTCCGACTAGGGCCTCAACGCGCAGGCTCTGGTTCCTGGGTTGGCCTCCCGTGGGCCACGTTACGCTGTGCAGTCAAGGCGCTGAACCAAACACCACTTTTGGCTTGGGCGGGACTCCGGTTTTCGAGCTGCTCATTCAATCTAGGTCGGGAGAACTGTTCGTGGCCGAGGGCCGTCGTGGTCAGAAAAGCCAAACTCCGTTCCTTCTGTTATGAGTTCCCAGCCGTGCAGATTGCTATGCCAGTGCGAAATCGGCAACATTTTGAAACAGCGTGAATCTAGTACGAATCGAAAGTCCGAGGGGGGAAATAAGTAAGAGTCTAGAGTACGAGAAAAGTGCAATTTGAGCAAACTAATGTACACCCAGATGAGGGACACAACTCAGAATGACCATTCGTTGTTTTGAGTTTTTTTTGTAGTGGTGTGCTCGTGTTTTCGTATTTGTTTGTTGGTTTGTTTGTGTTTGTTTAGGTGGTTGTGTCTTCATGGTTTAGAAACAACTTCTTGCGCACGGAGGATACACACTCGCACATGTTCTGTTGTTTCACACTTCGGATGTGCTTTGATTGTTTCCATAGTTTTCACATTTAGGATGCGCATTCGTATTGTGCTCTGTGCATGTGTCGCACTTATTTCGTACTGTTCCTCGTAGTGGTTTCTCACGTGTTCGTATGTTTTCGTATTTTAGTTCACCCACATATTCGATTCCTAGTTGTTTTACATTCGCAGTTTCGATTCGTACTTGTGTTGCACTTGTACTATCGTTTATGCCATTTTGTCGGACTCGAACCTTCTCTTTTCCATCGAAATCGAAAGAATCGCCAGTCTGCACGGCGCGGGAACTTATAATCTTTACGGTCTCACGACGACTGTATGCCCTGACATCCGCCGATCTGCTTTTTCAACCCGCGGCCCCGCTTCCTCAGGGGTAGTGTTTCGGCCCGGATCTGTTTCGGGTGGCCCCAGGGTGCAATATCGGGCCCTCGGACGAGGCTAGGACGAGGATAAACCCGTTCCAGAGCGTTCCAGAACGCTCTCAGAGCGTTCCGCAACGCTTTGAGAAGGCAACGGCGCCCGAGGCATCCTCCAGAGCCGCCGCATCTCAGAGATTTCCGATACACTTCCGTCCAAACTTGCCCTCGTCCTGGCTTCGTCTTAGGCCCCAAGAGGCCGAGGTCGAGGGAAAACGCCGGGATGGCGCAAGCAGATCGTCGGAGATCTGGGTGGCCCTCGAGGGGGCCGGACTCGGCCCGGTGCTCCCCCCGGGGCTCTGCTCTTTATCCCGAGGCGTCGGGTGCGCCCTCGAGGGTGGAAGGTCATTCGCGCTTCGCGGGTCGGCTACGACTCCTCCTCGTCCTCCTCCTCCTCCTCTCCCGGGAGGCGGCGCGAGAGCGCGGAGTTGTTCGCGCTTCGCGCGCCGCGCAGCCCGAAGCTGAGGTCAGAGGCGCCCTCGAGTCGTGTTCTGACGGCCCCGGCAGAGCGGCGAGGCAGTCCTCTGGCGCGACCTTCTTGTCGAGGCGTTGAAGGTCTGGGTGGAAAGCGACCCCCTGGACCTCTCCAGGAGGGGGGCTGTCCACGATCCGACGAATCTAAGTCACCCGCGGGCGGCGCGAAGATAAGCGGCGCTTCGCGCCTCGCGGTCTGGGCCAGGGCGGCTGCCCGTAATTATCCAAGGGGGCGGCGCAAGGGTGGGAGGGCGCGAAGACAATCGCGCGTCGCGCATTGCGGGGCGCGATGCGCGAAGGTAGGTGACCTACTTCGGTCGATCCGATGGTGCGTGTCGATGTCCGGAATTACCTTGGCTTCAACTCGACCCGACTCGAGCGCCGCCCCACGGGTGACTGCCTTGCACCAGGGGCCCGACCGCCTCGACTTGGCGGGCGGTTCGGTCGACCTGCGATCGAGGGCAGCGCTTCGGGCAGCCATCTCCTTAATGGGGCCAGAGCAGATGATGTCGGAGGATCGCGCCGCGTCGCCGATGCATTGGCGACGCGGCGCGATTTGGAGCCCGTTGACCTCCCTCCCGTCGCCGATGCACCGCCGATGCATCGGCGACGCGGCAGGGTCTTCTGACCCGATCTGCTCCGGCCCAATTTGGGAGATCTCCAGCTTGGGGCGGCCACGGAGGAGAAGAACATGTCCGCAAGCGCCCTGGCGTTCCGCAACCAGCGCATGTACGCCGGGAGGAGCCGATTCGCCCTCGGCGTCTTCTTGGAGGACCGGCTGCAGGCTCTCGCCACCTGCGAGGAGCGCGCGGACATCGGTGAGTAAAGAAGGTGATCCTACCCTGCGGGCGTCCAGCGTCTGGAACAAAAATCCAGGGACGTCCCCCAAACTGTCGCAACACATGGCAGCGAACGCGGTTCCATGGAGGACAAATGATTCATACTGGACGGGACACGTAATTGCCAGGATGGAGCACTCCCAAGGAGCCCACGGCGGTGGTGGCAATTGCGCAGTTGGCAGTCCCACAGGGGGCGTGAGGTCTCGTCTGGATTTGCGTGGGGCGTAGCTCCAGTAGACCTCCCAGAGGACCACGAGAGTGACGGTAATTGCGCAAATGGCGGCCCCTCCAGGGAACACGAGGTCTCGTCTGGGTGCGCGTAGCGCGTAGCTCCGCCGGACCTCCCATACACCCAAGAGAGTGGCGACAGCTGCGCACTTAGCAGGCCGCCCCAGGGAGCGCGAGGTCCCGTCTGGATGCGCGTGGGGCGTGGCTCCGCTGGACATTCCAGGAGCCCGCGAAAGCGGAGACAGCTGCGCAGCTGGCGGCCCCCCCATCCCCAGGAGCGCGAGGAGCCCTCGGAATGCGCGTAGCGTGCAGCTCCGCTGGACCTTCGGGAGCCCGCGAAAGCGGCGAAAGTTTCGCAGTTGGCAGCCCCTCCAGGGAGCCGTGAGGGCAACCTGGAAGCAGGACGTAAGCGAGGGAGCAGCAGGAGGCAAGAGGCATGGGGATGGAAGCGGTAGAAGGAAGGACGGAGACCAACAGTGTTTCATCGTAAACAAGGACCCATCTCAAGGGAGGGTTGGTAACAAGACGGATTGCTCTGTACCGTTTTCGTCGTCTGGGGCCCCCTCGCGGTCGCAGAGCCGTCGAAAAACGACTGAGGCTGCAAAGCCGGCTCTGGGGAAATGGGACGGAATCGGGACTTCAGGGACCTTGTATTGAAAGAACCAGGACGTCGGATGTTTTGGGCCCGCGCTTCCCTTCTCCAGCTCTCTCACCCTTCATGTTCCCGACTCACTCCTCCCCCCCCTTCTGCCCTGAATTTTGAAGGCCCGACATCCGACGTCGTGAAAACATATGCACACCGCTGTGCAAACAGCACCAGAGCCCCCGACCTGACCTTCGCGTGGGACCTGTCGGGCCAGATCACTCGGTGGGGGCCCGAGGGCCCGAACAGGACCGAGAACGACAGTGCTTTTCCCGCGACGGCCAGACTCAAGGAACAAGCCTTGGCACAAACACAAACTTCTGGAGGTCCTCGCAGATTTCTTGGGTCGGCGCCAGGATCCCCATGGCGGCGCCCGTGCCAGGGCAGGGGGGGGCCGCCGCCGACCGAAGACATCCGCGCAGACCTCCGAAGGTGTACGTGCGTGCCGCTTTCACATCTTCTGCAGATGTCAGGGCAGGGGCACCGTCTTTGATCCCTGGACATCTCGGACCTCATGTCGTTTCTGTTCCCCGGGAGGGTCCTGCGATGTCTCTCGGTCCTGACGAAGCCCAGGCTGAAGACCCCAGCCGGCGAGCTGCTCGTGCGCGCCCTCGCCGAGCTGGCCAGGGCGACCAAGTGCAGAGCCGATTTCGAGCCGCTGAAGGGCACTTGCGCGCAGATCGTGGGACGCCATCTTTACATCCTGGCCAGACCGACCCTGCCCAGGCATCCAGCGCCTCGAAAAGATCGAGGCGGCCAGTTTTTTGCAATTCTTGGCTTCTGGGATTTGTCGCCTTTTTGGGCCTTTGGGAGCCGTGCTTGGGCTTCGGAATCATGAGAACATGCGACCTGGGATGACAAGCTAGCCTTAGGGACGAGGTCGAGAAAGAGAGAGGTCCGAGAGGCCCACCAATCGAGCAGATCGAAGCGCCCGAAAGTCTGGGTACGTCGCCGCGCCAATCCTGGCCAGGATCCGGTGTGCACTCCTCGCTGGCTGACGCCCAGGGAGCCGTGCTCATCGAGCCGGGGGGCCAGCTGGTGCCTTCTTGGGGTGGCGGCCGCGTGGGCGCGGGCGCGGGCGTTGAGAGGCTGAAGGCCCCAGCGGCAGCGAAAGAAGGACGTGGACGTGCATGTATCCACGTGGGTGGGTTTCGGAATTCTGCATTGCGCCAACGTTCGTGACACGAGGCTGGCCTCGCGGACGGGGAGGCCGTATTCACGTACGTGGCTGGGCGCGTACGTTTTTTTCCCAACCATCCTGTGGTGTTGGGTCCTCGTTTTGAAGAGACGTCGCCCCGCGTTCTCCTCTCCTCTCCTCTCCTCTCCTCTCCTCCTCCCTCTCCTCTCTCCCTCCTCTCCTCTCCTCTCCTCCTCTCCTCTCCTCTCCTCTCCTCTCCTCTCCTCTCCTCTCCTCTCCTCCTCCCCTCTTCCTTCCTGCCTCCTCCATTTCGGCACACCCCTCACACGTTTCGTGGCCCCATAGGGAGCCCACCGAAGGCCCCAGTGCTGCCGCCCGCATGCGTCACGCACACCCATTCGGCACACCCCTCACACGTTTCGCCCCAGCCCCACCGAAGGCCCCAGGTCACACGTTTCGTGGCCCCATAGGGAGCCCACCGAAGGCCCCAGTGCTGCCGCCCGCATGCGTCACGCACACCCAATTCGGCACACCCCTCACACGTTTCGTGGCCCCATAGGGAGCTCCACCGAAGGCCCCAGTGCTGCCGCCCGCATGCGTCACGCACACCCAATTCGGCACACCCCTCACACGTTTCGTGGCCCCATAGGGAGCTCCACCGAAGGCCCCAGTGCTGCCGCCCGCATGCGTCACGCACACCCAATTCGGCACACCCCTCACACGTTTCGTGGCCCCATAGGGAGCTCCACCGAAGGCCCCAGTGGCGGCGCTCACATGCGCATGCGTCCCGCACACCCATTTCGGCACATCCCTGACAGGTTTCGTGGCCCCATCATCCACCGGAGGCCCCAGTGGCGGCGCTCACATGCGTCACCCACACCCACCCAATTCGGCACACCCCTCACACGTTTCGTGGCCCCATAGGGAGCTCCACCGAAGGCCCCAGCGGCCGCGCTCACATGCGTCCCCGCCACCCATCCCGGCACGCCCCTCACAACAACAGGTTTCGTGGCCCCATAGGGAGCTCCACCGAAGGCCCCAGTGGCACCGCCCGCATGCGTCACCACCCGCACCCAATTCGGCACACCCCTCACACGTTTCGTGGCCCCATAGGGAGCTGCACCGAAGGCCCCAGTGGCGGCGCTCACATGCGTCCCCGCCACACATCCCAGTACACCCCTCACGCGCTTCGTGGCCCCATAGGGAGCTCCACCGAAGGCCCCAGTAGCGGCGCTTACATGCGTCTCCGCCACCCATCCCGGCCCCCCCCCCGCAGCAGCATCATGTTTCGGGGACCCATAGGGAGCTCCACTGGAGGCCCGAGTGGCGGCCCTCACATGCGTTTCCGCCACCCATGTCGGCACGCCCCGCGCGTGTTTCATGTCCCCATAGGGAGCTTCGCCGAATGCCCCAGCGGCATCCATCTCGGCACACCCCTCACACGTTCCGTAGTCCTATGGGGAGTTCCACTGAAGATGAAACCCGCAGCTGCGGAACTGACAACTGCATATGGTTGGGTTCTTCGCCAGGCTACTTTGGGCTCCCCTCGGGGATGGGTCCGGGTCCAGATCGGACTGTTGCCACGCGGTCACGGAGAGGCCGGAGCCTTCGCCAGCAGGAGTTTTTTGCCGCAGGTGGGTGCTCGGGCTCGTTCCGTCGAGCTTTCTAACCATCTATTAACGGCGTGGGCTCCCATGGGCTCTTGGCCCCATCCCTAGGGTCAGATTTTCGCCGCCAGGAGTCTCCTGACGGTCCCCGAGGCGCGAAGCGGGGCCCCAAGGCCCAAGCTTGGGAGAGGCAGCCCAGTCGTGATTCCGACGCGGCACCTGGAGGTCTGGCCCTCCTCCCCCAAAGCTGGGCCTCGGGCACTTCCCGGGGCGCACTCCAGCCAGGATGTCGAGGCGAAGTCCAGCCATGGCCACGAGGGCACTCCGAGAGGCCCCAAAGGGTCTCAAAGAGTGCAAAAGCCTCGAACCTCGATCCGGGTTTCGGGGAGACCGCAATGGGGGATGGAAAGAGCGGTGACGAAAGCCACTTCGAACAGGACTCGATGCCCGTGTCGCCGCGGGCGCTGTCCGTTTGAGGCAAAAAGTCGCCTGCCCAACAGCGGCCGCTGACGATTTTAGGAGCGTGTTTCTTTGTTGCTTGGAGCACACTGGGCGTTATGGCCCCCAGCGCCCCCCCCTATAACGTAACGCCCCTTCCCCCCGGCACTGCCGTCGTGTGCATTGGGATCCGCATAGGCGTCCGCATAGGAATCCGCATAGGGGTCTGGTCCGCAGTCGTCTTCGTCGTCGTCGTCGTCGTCGTCGTCGTCGTGGTTGTCGTCGTTGTCGCTCGTCGCTCGTCGCCCGTCGCTCATCGTCGTCGTGCGCGCGGACGCGGCTGGAGTCTGTTTTTTTATTCTGGGCTGATGACGGCCATCGTCGGGGGGGCGATGCCGTCACGTTTCGCGCCAGCGGCGTTTGGGAAAACCTAGGAATGATCGAGGACGGGTAGCAGCAGCATGTCGGTGGCGATCTGCACCACAGTGTCTGTGTACACCGCAGTACCTGTGTGCACCACAGCGCCTGTGTACATCACGCCGCCTACGTACACCACAACAGCCGCGTGCAACACATTGCCAGTGTGTGTGCCACAGTGCCTGCGGGCACCACAGCGCTTGTGTACACCACAGCGCTTGCGTACACCACATCAGCCGAGTGCAACACAGCACCAGTGTACACCACAGTGCTCGCGTGCACTACAGCGCCTGTGCACACCACGGCGCCGTGTGCACAACAGCAACCGTGTGCAGCAGAGCACCACTGTTGCATGTAGAATTCAGAAGGATTCCTTGTGACAAAACGGAGCGCCTGTGGCTTCTACAGAAAAACATTGTTTTATATAGGATTTGGAAAAGAACCCTTCTGGAAAAATGAGCTCCGCCGGAATCTACGAGTCCTCCCGAGTCCTCCCGCATCATCCTCACTCCTCCCATCTGCGTCCAGGAGGCTCCAGCAGAATTGGCCGTCCAAGAACCAACTGGACTGATTCAATCGACCATTCTGCGGTGCAACCTGAGATGCGCACGTGCGCTGTAGCGCGGACCCGCACGACAGGGGGGAAGGTTGAGGGAGGAGGAGGAGGAGGAGGAGGAGGCGGAGGAGGAGGAAGCGGAGGAAGAGGAGGAGGAGGAGGAGGAGGAGGAAGAGGTGGAAATGGAAGTGGAGGCGCAGGAGGGGGAGCAGGGAATAACGTCGCATTATTGTAGTGGCCTCTGGCCAGTGCCGCCGATCCGGGGCGCTCCTGATGATGATGATGATGATGATGATGATGATGATGATGATGATGATGATGATGATGGTGATGATGATGATGATGATGATGATGATGATGATGATGATGGTGGTGGTGGTGGTGGTGGTGTGGTGGTGATGATGATGATGATGATGATGATGATGCTGCTGATAAGGATGATGATGAAGATAAAGATGATGCTGCTGCTGCTGATGATGCTGATGCTGATGATGATGATGATGATTATGATGATGATGGTGTGTGATGATGATGATGATGATGATGATGATGAATGATGATGATGATGGTGGTGGTGATGATGATGACGTGATGATGATGCTGCTGATGATGATACTGATGTGAGGATGGTCCCCCCCCCCCACCCCCCCTCTCTCCTGTCCCCCCCCCCCTCTCTCCTTCCCCCCCCCTCTCTCCTTTCCCCCCCCCTCTCTCCCCCCCCCCTCTTTCCTGTCCACCCCCCCCACTCTCCCCACGCCCCTCTCTCCTGTCCCCCCCCCCTCTCCTGCCCCCCCCCTCTCTCCTGTTCCCCTCCCCCCTCTCTCCTTTCCCCCCCCCCCCCTCTCTCCTGTCCCCCCCCCCCCTCCTGTCCCCCCCCCTCCTCTCCTGTCCCCCCCCCTCTCTCCTGTCCCCCCCCCTCTCTCCTGTCCCTCCCCCCTTCTCTCCTGTGCCCCCCCCTTTTTCCTCCCCCCCCCCCCAGCAAGCGAGCTCCACCAAGCAATCAAACAACTCAAGAACGGCAGGTGCAGCGACACCACTGGGCTCACGGCAGAATTGCTCAAAGCAGGAGGCACCACCTTACAATGCCATCTACTTCGGTTATACAACGATCTATCAAGCCTGATCGCCCTTCGCCAGACCAGTGGAAGAGCACCACCATCACTGTAATGCACAAGTCTGGTGACCCCAAACAACCGGGCAATTCAAGACCAATTGCCATCATCCCATCATCCCTCTGCTGTATCAGCTGATGTCTCGCCTCCTTTGCAACCGGCTCAGCGTCTTGTTCGACGCGCAGCAATGTCCAGACCAAGCAGGTTTCCGCAAGAACTACTGCACAGAGGACCACTTGTTCACCACAACGATGCTTCATGAGAGCTCTCACGAATGGCAGCTGCCATTCTGGGCCGCCGCAATCGATTTCAAGAAAGCGTTTGATTGCATTGACCATGACCGTATGTGGGACGCTCAGCGACAGCAACATGTACCTCCCGCCTACATCACCTTCCTGCAACACTTATATAGCACCCAAGCTGGTACAGTTCGGACGGATACCAACAGCAGAGCCTTCAATATCGAACAGGGCGTTAAACAGGGTGACCCGCTGATCTCTTTCCTTTTCAACGCCGTCGTAGAGCACGTGCTCAGACAAGCGAAACCTGTTTGGTTGCGAAGGGGATTCGGGATCCACCTTGGCGTTTCAGCACAAGCGCGGATTATAAATCAGCGTTTCGCCGACGGCGCGATGTTGTACGCCACCAGCCTAAGACAGCTCACCTGCTTACTTCGCGACGTACAAACCCACGCAGCTAAATGTGGTGTGTTGCTACAGTCAGAAACAACGAAGATCCTTACGAACATTAGCCGGAGAGGGAGAAGAACAATCACCCATGCCGACATCGACGGCGACATCATCAGCATCCTACATTCCAGCCGCGGAACGAAGTACTTTGGAAGAAACT